AAGGATAAAGGGCTGTGAGGTCTTTAAAGAAAAACCAGGCCCAGTCATGACAGTCATGGCAATGATGGTGATGAAGCTCTAAAAACCACTCATGGTCCCTATCACCATCAGCTCCTGACACCATTCATCAGTGTAATAAACTCACAGAATATTTCTGGATCCAACATTATCCACTGCAGTGCCAGAGGATGCCAAGATGACTGCAGGGAAGACCATCAGCCTTCTGCCCCAGTAAAATCCCTTTAACAAAGTCTGCTCTGGAGGGGGCAGAAACCTTTCCAGTTCCCTGGAACTGGAGAACCTTAGCCATGCAGAGCCCTGCTGCGGGGACAGAAATGGTGCAGAAGTTTTGTGTAGCAGCAAAATTATTAATTAAACCTCTTAATTACGGCCCAAGCAACTCTCTTGATTCCAGAGAGCTTTGGGGAATGGCCAGGAGGAGACAGGAGGGGAGCAGAGCCAATGCAGGCACAAAGTGGGTCACAAGCATCGCAGTGAGGGCGCAGGAGCTGCCCCTCCTGCTCTGCTGGCATGTTCTGAGCAAGCCCGATGTTAAGACATCCCATTTATTCCACGCTGTTTCTGCCAAGAGAAAAAGCACCAGCTTCTAATTAAGCTGGTGTTTTTGCAGTTCAGTGATCCTAAGCTTGACGAGCTTTCTGGAAGGACTGAGTGCTGTTAATTATCGAGCAAAACCTCAAGGTAACACTTGTGAGCGGCTGCGGGGCTGTCCCTGTCCCCGAGTCCCCTGCACCTGCGAGGGCTTGCAGTGAACTCTGTGCTCTCTGTGTTGAGATTTCCACTCAAAAGCACTGAAAACAATTGCCAAGACACTCCAAATACCTTTGATGTACCCCAAAAGCAGGGTGCTGGCTGGGTTTGGGATTGCTCCCAAGCCCTGGAGCAGGAGCACCCTAAACACAATTAACTGTGCGCTTAGGCCTTAAGGACACGGGAAAACTGTCATTTCTTCAGCTGGTGCTTCCCTGCAATGCTGTCCCCTCTCCAGTTGCTCCCCGTGTGCTTTGGGAGGGTCCCTCCATCCCCCTGCACATTTCCCCAGGGTTTTCCTGAAGCCGGTGCAAGCTCTGGCCCATTTCGCTTGACATACTACAAGACATTTCAATCGAAAACACAAATTCAACTTCCATCTTCTCTCTGATGACTCACGGCTCTACCTCTCCTCCCCAGACCTCCCTCCTCCCTCTCCCGCTGCCACTCATCAGTCTCTCGCCGCCGTTTCCGCATGAGCGCGCAGCCGGCAGCCAAACCCTCCCATCACCTCCCCAGAGCTCAGCCCCCCTTCACCCTCGCCTCCCCCGGCCACTAACCCAGACCAACACCTCACATCTGAGCTGGCTCCTGCCCAGCGGGCTCAGCCCTCAGGGAATTGCATCTTGCAGGGAGCATCCCCAAAACAAGGTGCCCCCGTGCGTGCACAGAGCTGGGGGCTTCATCCTGGCCGTGGTCACCTTAAGCTCTGATGGCTTCCCCAGCTCTGCCCCGTGGCACCTCATCCATCTTGCAGCAGCTGCACATCCGTGCTGCCATGCTGCAAATCACTGAATCATTTGGTTGGAAAAGACCTTTAAGATCATCAGGTCCAACCATAGCCTGTCTGCTACAAAACCACATCACTATGCACCTTATCAAATGTCGCCTCCAACCAACCTTCCTGCCCGAACCTGGTAGAGGGCATTTTCTGGGGCTGGGCTGAGAGCACGATGGGTCAGTGGGACTCCTTGGTTTGAGTTGACTCCATCTGATTTATTTGGTGGGTGACACTTTCTGGGGTGGAAACCCCCTAATTGTGGTAGGTTTTCAGAACATGGTGCACTGCAGACATCTGTACTGCTAAGGGGATGTGTAGGTGCTTCTACAATACAAATAATTAGTACTGCCTCGTAGGAAAACATCCTGGCTTGGGCTAGAGACACTTCAAATATTAAAAGATCATTTCATTTTTACAAGCAGGGAGAAACATGGAGTCTCCAATTACCCGAAACCACGACTTGGTCTCATGGTGCCAATCTCTTTTGCAGGGCGAGTGGGAGAAGCAGCCGCTTCCCATCATCACCGAGCGGCTGCGGGAGCCGGTCCCTCACTGCCCACCCACCTCGGGGTCCCAGCCTGCGGCCCCCATCCCCCTCAACCTGAGTGAGCTCCAGAGGGACTGACCCGATGCCCACTTCCTCCACCGTGATGGAAAGCGCCTCCAGGTAGGAGTATCCTCAGGGAACATCATCCCATGTCTCTCCTGGATCCCTGCCTGCACAGCGATGCCCTGGCCCCTGCCTGTGGAGGGGGTTAGGGCTCATGAGCAAGAGTTCAGAAAGTACTCTGGAAATGGAAAGTGCTATATTTAGTGCGTTATTAGTAATCCTGGCTCTGAGTAATGCTGCTTTCCGCCCCCAGAATAATAACGTGGAGGTTTGCTATTGTGTCGAACCCAGCACGGCCCCAGGGTGGAGGGGGGAGAAGGCGGCTTTCCCGCAGAGAAACTGAGGCACGGAGCAAAGACCTGCGTGGGAGCAGCATACAAGCCTTCCCAGTGCCCCATGGTCCCGTTGAGCTCAGGATAGCTCCATGAGCATGCTCCTATGCTGGCATCCATGGGGGGGATGGAGGGAGGGAGGGATGCTGTGATGCCCACCTCGCACTCGCCTCCCCGCTGCAGGGACTGTAGCTCCCCACCGCGCTCCTCCTCCCACTCCTCCGTGCTAGGGACTATTTGTCTTGATGCCACCAGACGCCAATGGCTGGGAACAAATGACACCTCTGCAATGGGGTTTAGAAAGGGGGAGGGACATGGGAGGGAAAGACAAACCTTTTGGCAGGAAAAAAGACTCCGTTAAATACCTAAATGTAAAAAAAAAATAAAAAAATAAAACAATTGTTTTTTGCTGTTGAGCTCCAAAGGGAAAATACTCAGGAGAAGCAGAGGAGAGGCCATGGTGCTGCAGAAGAGCCTGGAGGCCTCGGTCCTTGCTGCCCCAGGGTGGGTGGGATGCAGGACAGGGCAGCAGCCAAAATCTGCCCTCCCAGGCACCTTGGGTTGAAGTGAAAGTCTCAGGTCAGGGTGCTGTGGGTCAGAAAGGCCTTTTTGAAACAAAACATCACCTTCGTGGCACACGGTAGGTCCTTGGTGTGGTGAGGAGGCAGCATGCTTGGTCCCTCGTTTATCCCCAAGTCAAATGGATGGGGCTGCAGCCACCCACTACTCTGCCCATTGCCTGAACCAGGGAGTGTAATCACCTCCTATTTGGATAAAAACTCATCCCAATCTTGGTTTTTTTTATGTTTCCAGTAAAAGCAAAGCATGTGGCACTCATTGCATGAGACTAAGGAATTGCAACTGGCTCTAGAGGGGATATAAAGCAAGCAAATCTAGTCAAGGGAAATAAAGTGAAAAGCATGCAGTGTGGTTATTTCTTAAGACAGGTGAAAGCTTCAGCAGTGCCCAGGCCCTTGCTGTGTTGCTGAAGATGGAGTTCAGCAAGGGATTCAGAGCAAGGATCGGTTACAGCAATGGGCTGGGAGCAGCCGCCCCTTCCCTTTAGCAGCCAGGGGGTCACGGGCTGTGTCCAAGTAACGGAAAACCTTCTCTGAGGCCCCCAAGAGCTGCTCAGCCTCGGCGTGCAACCCCCTCCTCATTGGGAGCCACCTTCAAGGTGACCTTTGGGAAGATGCCAGCAGAGCAGATGGGACCACAGAGTCACCAGGGGCCAAGGGCAGTTTACACAAGGTGAGTTTACACCACGGTGCTGAGCTGGTCCTGCCTGACACACAAACACAAACCACACTGGCAAAGCAGCCATTGGCCAAAACACGTTAATCAAATTCTTTTTTCTTTCTCCTACAAGTTCAGAGGCCACGCACACACACACAGCAAGGACCCATGCTCCAGCAGTGCTTGCCTTTGGGAGTTTCTTTAATTCTCTAGGGAACAACATGAGAATCTCTCCCAAGTTCAGCATCAAGGGGCTGCACGGCACTGCCACGTTTTCCTCATTTCAAACCCAGGAGCACCAACACGGTCCCACTGTCATGGCCGAAACCTGGGATTTGCCTTTACTTTTGCCCTCCCACAAAGGGACTGGGCTGGGGAGGATCAACCTTCCCTGCCTTTCACACAGCCATTGCTCACCAAGACAGCATTTAAGCACCAGAAACAAAATCGAAGCAGGCACTGAACGTTTTGCAACCCAGAGTTGATTTTTTAAAGGGCCTTTGGTGCCATTTACCATTGAAGGCAACAGAAGTTGGTGCTTAAACTGTCTCTGAACTTTGGAGCCACAAGGAAACACTTTGGCAAAGTGGAACTTGAAGCTCCATCTGTGACTGGAGCAAAATGGGATGCAGAGATGAACCTGCACCTCCAAAGATGGGAAGAACAACCCTGGAAACCTCCTGGGTTAAACCAAGGATGCAGAAGAACCCTGCAGAGGGCAGAGCATCCATGGTGTGAGCCTGGGCGATGGCCCTGAGCACCCCTGCCCCTTCCCATCACAGCCCCCACCCCAGCACCAGGTCCCCAGGGCACAACCAGGTCAAGGTGACCCCCAATAGAGCAGGGACAGATGCAGCAAGGGACCGCAGAGACGGAGGGTTTGGAGGCTACAGCTGTATTAACAGCAGAGTTAGCTGAAAAAATTTCCAGGCAGTGTGAAACTACGTTTTGGGGGAAAGGGTTTGCAGCAAAGTGAAAAATTGAAACCATTTCATTTGCAGTCTAGCAAAACACTGTTTTCAGGCCAATTAACCCAAGGAAAAGAATGATTGCTGTAGTGGTACTGCTTCATTTAAAAACAAAGGTACAAAATCTTTGCACTTTTTGAATGTCTCCTCCTCTTCTCCTAAAATTTGACCCAATTTTGCTTGATGAGTTTGCTGCAGACGTTTACCCCGGAGCCAGCTGGGGCACACAGGGGCCAGGAATTGAGCCAGCAGCTCCTAATGGCACCTTCCCTCTCCCCATCCCGGTGCCCGCAGCTGCACTCTCAGTAAAAGCCTTTCACTCGCTTGTTGTCCGGGTCAAACGGGGACTTGGTGTGCGCTCGGGCAGGGTAGGTCACTCCCATCCGCTCCAGCTCGTAGCTGCCGCTCTTCACAAAATCCAGTGAGACCTGCAGGGCAAAGCCATGGCAAAACCCCTGTGAGGTGTTGAGAGGCACTGATGGAACACCAGTTTCTCCCACCATCCCAGCCCCATCACTGGGCAGGCTCCCACGCCACCCCACGGATCTGCTTCCTGCAGAAAATCTGGCTCTGCCATCCCAGGAGGATGCACAGATAAAAGCAGGTTTTTAAAAGCACTCAGCTAAAAAAAAAATAAAAAGAACGCAGTATTTAATTTTTTTGAGAGTTCGGGTTTTTTTCCACCCCCTGTGGATGTTTTCAATGGCACCCAGCACAAGTCAGGAGGGGACTGTCCCCCTGCCACCTCCATCACACTCCCTGGGCAAGGGGAGCAGTTGGGAGAACGAGATGTGATGGAGCAGAGAGAGAAATGGATGAAAAGTCAAGGCAAGCAAGAGGATGAAAGCACAAGCATATGCATTGCTCCTGATTTGCAACAGGGAGCGTCCCTGGGGACGTCAGCCACAGTCCTCTGTCCCCACACAGGTTCCCTGGCCTCTGCCTACAGCACGCTGCTTAATGAGGGCATCTGATTTACTATCCAGGAGCCTCCCGTGGTTAATTAAGAGCCTGCTGTGTTCCTATTGGGCGTTGCTCCCTGTAACATAAGTTAATTCACTGCTGCAATTAAATACTCAGTTGCAATTAACATCTGAGAGAGCGATTGAGCCAGAGAGCATCACCAGGGCTCTGCAGAGTGACAGCCGGTGAGATGGACCAAGCCACCGAGCCACAGCATCCCTCAGTCTCCAGCCTCTTTTATGGAGGAAGCATGGAGGGCTGCTCCATCTCTCTCCCTTGTGCATACAGCTTCAAAACCAAACAAGTGATACACTGCCCCTACAACAAGCCCCTGTTGTGGGGAAGAAGGCCCAGCCATCCCTGGAGACTGGTGGCGGCATGGGGTCTGTACTCACTGGGCCCCCCGCAGGGTCACGGATGTAGCCATAGGCGATGGTTTTGTCGATGGCAAACCCAAAGTCTGCCCGACGGATGTGGCCGACCACCTTGCCATCCCGCCAGATCGCCTCCAGGCCAAACATTGGCACCCTTCTGCAAGGAAAAGGCAGAGCCCCCATCAGCAAAGCCCACACATCAGGACCCCATGGGGCAGAGGGCCTTGGGGGGACCAGACCCCAGCTTCATTAACCTCCCTGCACTGATCCCAGGCAAAGCCCCTGCAGCCCAATTTGCAAAATCCCCCACTGTTTCGGATGAAACAAGATAAACCCACTCCCCGTCACACTGCTTCCAGCTCCCATTAAACATCCAGCAGGGAATTTGTGGTGGGATTTAAATTAGAGCTGGAATTAGACCGTGGAAAACGGTGGAGCTGGCTCACAACTGAGCTCCACGTGCGTGCCTGGGTGCAGGGATGGATGGGGATGGGTGAGCGCCACTAGTGCTGGGTGCTGCCCAGCACGGAGAGGAGCCTGGCAGTGGTACTGGGTACTCACTCCTCGGTGGTGAAGCAGACGAGGCGGCGGAAGATGCCCTTGGCTTTCTGAGCCTCCACAGCCTCCCGGCCCAGGAATGGGATGCTGGATTTGAGCTTGCAGGTGAAGGCCAAGCCTGCTTCTAGTGGGGTGTCATCGGGGCGCAGGTCTGCGTGCCAGTGCCTGTACCCTGCAGAGAGCAAGCGTTGAGTCACCGAGTCTCCCATTCCCATGACAGCAAGCCCAGGGTGAGCAGGGAAGCCCAGGAGACCATAGCATCACTCTTGCCTCTTGGTCACCCTTGGTGATCCTGATTCACCTTTCTCGATGCTGAGGCTGTCGATGGCTCTGTAGCCGGCGTTGGTAATGCCGTGTCGGGCCCCTGCCTGCATCACTGCCTGGTAAACCTTCACGCAGTCCCCCTTGGGCACGTGCAGCTCCCAGCCCATCTCACCGACGAACGACAACCTCATGGCACGGACCTGTGAAATGCAAGAGGGCAAATATCCCCCGTGGATGGAGCCACATGCACCAGCGTCCCTTCATCCCCAGCCAACCCCAGCATCCAGGAGGGATGGCCCATAGGCAGAGGGGGCTATGTCCAGCACCCCCTGGCCACTGATCCCAGTGCTGTCACACCAGCCTGGGGTTAGCTGTGATGCTCCGGCTCCAGCCAGGCTTTTGTCTCCCTCTGCCGATCCACTGATGGCAGAAGAAAGCCCTGGCACCCACAGCCCTGAGTCTCCCCGGATCTGCCATATCAGCCTGTCAGATGAGGAAGCCGGTCCCCAGAGGGACCTGTCCTGCTTTGGGGCACTTTGAGGCTGCTGTGCCCCATGGACGTGTCCCACTTGGTGTGGTGCTCCCATGGGAGAGGCACCCAGAGGCCCTACACTTGCCCAGGGGATGCTTAGGTTTCCCCCAGTGAAGGCTGTGCCCCAAAGCATTACTCTCTGCTGCCAAATTAGCTCAACACTGAATGCACAAAGACCTGAAGCGGAACAAGCAGATCAGCACAGGGGACTCGGTGCTTCTCGGGGGAAGCCTCATCCTTGGAGATCTCCCTCCCTTCCTGCCTTCCTGCCTGCACTCCCAGGGAAAGGAACATGGGACTGCCCTGCCTGTGTCCCCCCCTGCGTGCCTGCATACTCCCATTGTCCCCACTGAACCTGTCTGCATTCCCAAAGCTTTCCAGGCCAATTGGGACCACTCTGGCTTGGGCACCTTCCCTGGAGATGCCCCTTGAGTCTGAGCTGTGTTTCCCTCTGCTTCATCCCTTCAGTTTCCTTTGCTTCCTCCTCCACAAAACCCCCTCTGGTTCATCCCTTTGGATGCACATCAACTGCAAATGCATCCCTCGCTTTGGGAGAGGGATTAACTCAGAATTTCAAACCAAATCGTGATCTGCAGTCTTAAAAAAAAGCAGTTTTCAGCTAGGAAGAGACTCCCAGGCTGGTTCTGTTGGCCAGGCACGCTCAGCAGCTTTGGGGTTGCTTTGCCCATACTGGCTCTGCAAAAATAATGTCCTCAAGCAGAGTCTGGGGCAGCTTTTAAGACACCTTAACCTTAACAGAAGTGGGGAGGAGGAAGGAAAGCCACAGCTATTGGGAATTTATTTTGAGCCTCCTCATAACACAGCAAAGCACAAAAGCAATTGCTTTTCAAGATGCACAGACATGAGGGGCGCGCAGAAGCTTTTTTCACTCCACACAAAGGTGTCACCTCATTAGGGAACAGCCAGAGATCAAGCGGCTGCAGTCAGCTCCCATCTCCATCATGGCAGGAGATGCTCTGGGGATTGACAGGCAACTTCCTGGCTCATTAACCCGCAGCTAAAGCACGCTTTACTTTCAGGAGCAAGTTACTCCTAGGAGAAAACTTCCACTCAAACCACGGCTGCTCCAGGGGAGCGGGCATCCTGGTGAGAGCCACGTCCCATGGAAAAGAGGCGTTCCCAGGAAAATTAGTGTATCAGTCACTTGCACAGGCAGGGGCTGGGGGTTGCATCCTTGTGTTTGTACCCCAGGCAGGGGTAGGCACCCCACTGCAGGGGCCAAGGCGGGTGTCAAGTGCTGGGTTCAGCCACTCCAGTTGGTTTTCTGCTAAATTCCCCAAGGAACAGATTTTTATGTTAGATTTCAACTGGAGCTATGAAATAGCATCAATGCCTCGGTCTTTCAGCAGCAATTCAAAAGCATTTTAAGTATTCTAGAAAATGAAAACCTGAACTTTACCCCGTATCCAGCAGTGAAATTCAAAGGGGGACCTTTCTCTGCCATCCAATACAATGAGAGATGCTATATATAAACTCACAAACCAATCGGTAATTTCCAGAGTCATTAACTCTGCTGGAGCTCTCCTTTCACTCCAGCTGATTTTGTTCAACTACTGAGTTAATGCATGAAAATCTCAGCGATAACTTCTTAAAGATGTTGGGTTCAGTTTAATCCCCCTGGAAGGCAATAATATCAGCAAAGGCTTCAGGTCCTGAGCAACCTCTCCTACTCTAATTTCGGCGTGGGATGGAGTCCCTGGCAGCAAGCAGAGAGACCTCTCCTCCCCAAGCCCAGAGCCCTACATTTTCCTACATTCAGGGTATTTACACCCAAAAGAAGCCACCAAATTTCTACCAACTATTTATTCCTCGCAGGACCGTATTAATTTTTATAAACTTGAAATGCAAATAAACAAATCACGCTCTTGAAGACGGGAACACTTCTACACCTGTCCCGGGGGATAAGTAGATTATTACCAGATGTTATCGGCTTGCCACGAGTGTGACGGGGAGGACGTGGGGAGGGTTATAACTCACAGGTGGAGACTGAAATACAACGCATGGGATACCCTTCAACCATGGATTGGCCTTTGGGACCCTGTGTCACTGCCCTCCGCTAAAGTACATTGAGTTTTTGGTATGCTGATGGTGATGGTTCAGAGAATTCATCCAAGTTGAGCAAAATCAGTGGCTTTGTTAAACCACCCTAAACCCTGGTCAGACTCCTGCTCACAGATCAAGTAGCCTTAGTTTGATTTAAGAGCAATCCCTTCAGCAGCCAGCTGCATTCGAATTAAAGCCACTTTAATTCCCAATGAAAAGTGTCCGCACGCGGCTTAACCCAATTTCATCAATATCCAGCCTGCCTCCGGCTCCCTGTTTTCCTGCTGCCTTTTACAAGATTTACTGCTGCACCTTCGCCCTCTTCATCTCTCATCAGACATCGGATTGGGAGCCAGAGCAAACCCTCAACACATTCCCTTGCCACCTCCGAGCGATGCCACCCAATGTGTTAAACCCATCACTGCAGGTCCTGGCAGAGGTGCATGGTGCATCTCCCGTGGCTTGCTGAGCACTGGCACACTCAGGACAGCATGTGCATACCTGCCCCTGTGCACTGTGGGGGGCAGGAGCCAGCCAGCACCCTCAGTGCAAAACCAGCACACCAGTGGTGCTGGTTTACACCATAACCCCAAAGGGCTCCTCATCCCCTCACTCTGAGGCTTAGCCAGAGGTGTTAGTGCAGAGCATTGCCATTTCTGTGCTTTTCTTGCATAACCGCTGACGCGAGGCTGGGCAAATGCAGGATGATCTGTGCTTGTACAGAAAGCTTAAGGTTGTCAGACTTCTACTGTGATCAAACCCACTGGCTCTGCAGGCTGCCCAGTCCTTACTGCCAGCACTTGACACATCTTACATTAAATCATCTCTATTTCTTGTTATGAGTAAGGGGAAAAGGAGGGGATCTAGAACATCAAATAAATCTATCATCAATGCTTGCCCCTAATCTATGAGAGGTGGCTCATGTTCCTTCAGCAGTGCTGCAAAGCCATAAGTCACCATGACCCTTCATGTTCAAGTTCAGCCCTGGCTAGGACACACTCAGAGAACAGGCTGGCAGCTGGGATGCAATCAGGGAGGAAAATATCCCAGGTTTTGGCCTTTTCCAACAAAAAAAACCCCATCAAAACCTCTCAGCTGCCCACTGAGCAATGCGGAGGCAGACAGGTTCCCTGGCAGGGGATGCTCAGCTGCGCAGGCTGGTGGGCGGTTGCCCCAGTGAAGAGACATCCAGGGGAGCTGGGGACAAGCCCCATCCTACCGTGCATCCTGCGGCCGTGGTGAGTTTGTGGGTGGAGAAGGGGAAGGCCTCGTTGCTGAGGTCAGTGTCGAGGACTTCTTGGAGGACGACGCGGCTGTCAGAAAACAGCAAAGCCACCGTGGTGAAAGAACGCAGCTTGCCAGACTGCTCTGAAGGTTATCACTAAAATTTGCTTTCTCATCTTGTTGGCAAGACAGACTGCTCCCTCTGAAGGGGAGTTGGCGTGGGTGATAACGCAATGTCGTGAGCGCCTCGAAAGAAATGCCAGTTCCCCAGCAAACAGAGAATTGCTCCAGTCAGGCCATTGCCTGGTGCTGTGGAGCTTGTACCTTGCCCTGCCCAACAACAGAGACCTGGCCTGCTTCTGAGGCATCCCTCCATCCATCACCTCCACCCCTGCATCCATCCATCCATCTCTGCATCCCTCCCTGCATCCCTCCATCCATCACCCTCAACCCTTTCTGCATCTCTCCATCCCTGCGTCCCTCCCTCCCTGCATCCTTCCATTCATCACCTCCATCCCTCCATGGTCAGGTTGCAAGGACAGGTCTGCGATACTCTCGCCACCCTCACCTCAGAGGCCCCTGGATGCTCATCATGCCCAGCTCCTCTGAGCAGTCGAGGAGTTTGCACTGGAGCTTCATGTCCTGCAGCACAGTGGTGATGTGTGACCAGTTGTGCTGAGCCACGGCCCCGCCAATCGCCAAGTAGTAGCCATCCCCTGAAAAACACCCCCCAGCAGCCTTTCAGGCTCAAAATCAATTGGGCTGGGGGCAATGCCCAGCTCAGCTTGGGGCTGGTTTTGCTCTCCAGAGGCTGAGCTGCAGCTCTGAGCCTCTCCAGCTTTCACAGCCCAGGGAGGACCATCAAGAAAGTGGGGGATAAATAGTGCTGGGACAAAGGGGGGCTTTGGGGCTCTGCTGACACCCACACTGCCTTTTGCTTGTGGGGCTTAGCACGGTGAAAACCAAATGATCACTAAAACCTCAAAGAAGAAAAGCTTAAAAAAGCTGTTTGAGCCCTGGAGGTGCCTCTGTGTGTGTAAGCATCACAGGAAAAGAAAAACCTCTTTGCTTCTTGAGACCAACAGCAAAAGCATCTGCTCTTTTGTCCCAGTACAGAGTGGATGCCAAAGTGCAGAGGGAGCTGGGAACTACAGCGGGGAGCAAGAAGGGGTACAGCGACCGGGCCATAACCAGTGCAAGAAGCTGTGCTCTATACGAGGAGGAATTTCCCCTCGTCAGTAATCCTGGGTGGAAAAATCCCTGAGGATGGGGTTTGAGAGCTGATTAATACATAATAAATCTTCCCTCTGTCTTCCCGCCACTACAAAATCGCCCTCTGATAATCTGTCATGACAGTAAGCGCAGCCACCTACTGTAATTGGAAAAATAGACTTGGCTGCGATTAAACTCCTCCATCACCCGACAAACCCTGCAGCTCTGCCATCCACTTCCCGTCACCCTTCTGCCCTTCACAAGCACTCCAGACAGAAGGGATGCGGGAGTCACCCACAGGGAGGAAAGAGTTCCCCAACATTCAGCCACCACAGGGCAAAGGTGAGATTGCACCCACGACACCCACCACTGTGGGGCTGGGGGCTGCATTGCCACAGGGTCCCTCCCAAAATGCAGGTGACACTGTGTGTGTCACTGAGAGCTCAGTGCCCTCCTCTGCTGCTGCCTAATGCCATTCCTGCCCCTGGGGCTGACTGCTCTGCTCCACTTCAATTCCTCTTTATTGCAGCTGATAAGGACCTGGGGAGAGGTCAGAGACGCCAGCCGGGGTTGGATAAACCCAATAACATCGATGAGCAGCACGGGGCCCCAGGGACAAGGGGGATAATTGGGTTAGAGGGAGCGAGGGGTGGAAAAAGCCAGGTGGCTGCCATTAGGTAAATGCAATCATCCTCACGCCTGTGGCCCCCCAGGCATGGTGGGCACGGAGGAGATGGTGGGGGGACTTGGAGCAAACCTGCTGCCGTGGAAAGGTCTTTGTGTGCATTGACACAGCTGAAAAAGGCAGTGGGAGAGGCTGGGACACTCCAGCCCCCAGAAATGCACCCGACTCCAGCATTCCTGTGCTCAGAGTTTTACCTTCAAATTTAGGGGCCAGGGGGGAGGCTGGGTCCCCAGGGTTGATCCGGCTCACGGTCATGTCACTCTCCACGCCACCCCTTTTGTTCAGCATGCAGGTGTAGACAGTCGAGCCTGGGGAAGGAGATGGGTACCACTGCCCATCAGACAGCCCCAGTACAGAGCCATGGCCCCACAGAGGGAGAGGAGGTATCAGGAAGATTTGTCCTCATCAGTACATCAACTGCCTAGGGATGCCCTGACCAACCCTGGATGTCCCAGCACCAGGAGAGCTGTGATGCTTTTTGCCATTGAGAACTGTGTGAGGAGCTACATCCTTGGAAATGCCATAGCCTGCCTCCCAGTCCCAGAGAACGGAACAGCTTCACCCCATGAAAACCATGTCTGGCAAGGGTTGTGCTCGATTTGCTCTGGTACCCATCACATCTCTAGCTGTGAGCCACAGCTGGGGCCAAAGGGCCAGGCCCCCCCTCCCTCAGAGCACATTTGCTCCTGGAAGCCAGCATCTGGTAAGGATGGGGAAAGCAGTGGTTCTCGCATGCTTCCCATACCCTCTGCTAAAGCAGCATTTAAAAGAAAAGCCAGTTTGGGCCCCCCCTGGTTTGTTATGGTGTAAGATGGGATTTCCCAGGGCAGTGCACAGTCAAAACAGGGGGTGCCGAGCTGGTACCTGGTGCTTTGCTCACATCGGCAGTGAACAGCCAGTTCGCTGCTTTCGTTGCTTCAGGACCAACCAGGTAGAACTTCCCAAAATAAGACATGTCGAAGAGAGCCAGGGCATTTCTACACGTTAAGCACTCATTCTTGATCTACAATGAAAGCAAATGCACCACTGAAGCTGAGCCATATTCTCACTCCACAAATAAACACATACATAAAACCTATTTATGTAATGGGAAACAATACCAGGATGCTCTCCTATGTCTTTAAAGGCTGTAGAGCTTCAAAGCACTACTGAAAAATCAGGTGTTAAATGGAGCAAGCCTGTCAGGCCATTCTGTATGCTCAGTCCTATTCCTCACCTCACTAACACAGTGACAGTTATCAATAATAACAGTTAAATATTATCAAATTGTGGTTTTCCCTGGAGCTGGTCTCAACTCTTTCATTTGGGAAAGCAGCAGTAAAATCCCCATGGCCTCTCCACTGAGGTTTCCAAGCGCGGGCCACACATTTCTCTTTACCTTTATGAAACACTTTTCCTAGTTTTGGGCAAAGCTTGCTGCTTCCCCTACTGCAAATCTCACCAACTCTACCCAAAGCAGCAGTGTGGCACAGGCTCTGCTGCCTCTAACCCCATCTGGCTCCAGATGTGCCCAGTTGTTTTGGCTGGGGGGAACTACCCCCCCTTCACTCACAATGTGATGGTGAGGGGGGAAGTCAAAGGTGTACTCATCCCCCAGCAGTCGGTTGTAGGTGTAGTCCCTGTGGCGCTCCCGGCCGTACGCACCGTAGTAGTCATAATCCAGGACCTGGGGGGAAAAGCAGGGGAACGGGGGCAGTGAGGAAGATGGTGTGAGGCTGAAGTCGAGGGGCTAACTACCCCCCCTTCACTCACAATGTGATGGTGAGGGGGGAAGTCAAAGGTGTACTCATCCCCCAGCAGTCGGTTGTAGGTGTAGTCCCTGTGGCGCTCCCGGCCGTACGCACCGTAGTAGTCATAATCCAGGACCTGGGGGGAAAAGCAGGGGGACGGGGGCAGTGAGGAAGATGGTGTGAGGCTGAAGTCGAGGGGCTCCTGCCAGTCACATTCACCCCATACCAGGAGAGGAGCGCTTCCACTCAGGATCTGTCCACAGTGATGGGTCCCCACCCCAGCATCCCTGCCCATGGTGATGGGTCCCCATCCCTGCATCCCTGCCCATGGTGATGGGTCCTATGGTGATGGGTCCTCACCCCAGCATCCCTGCCCACAGTGATGGGTCCCCACTCCAGCATCCCTGCCTGCTGCTCTTCAATTTATAGAAGCGAGATCGGTGCCTCTTGTTTGGGGACATTGCAGGCAGATGCTGCCTGTTGGAGAGGACAAGCAGATAGACACACACAGTATGCACATGCAGATATCCCTCTTACCACTATTAAACTGATA